ATTATATTATGAAATATTTTTAAAAATAATTTTATAATTTAAACAGTATTAAATTATAAGATCAAAATCATGTGATGGATTACAACTCACTTAAATTTGGTGGCCATCGTTCATTTAATAGTTAGTTTTATGATGTTTCATACGCTTCCTATCCTACTGCATGAAAACTTTTTTTTTTTTTTTAATTTTTTGAGCAAGGGCAATTTGAGAGTAGGAGAAATGTTGTTCAAATGATTTTTTTTCTTTTTTATAAAGGTAATGGTTAGTATATTAATATTATTAGATGTTAGTAACTGAGAATTCGATCTTCAGATTTGATGAACAGTCCATCAACCTCAATGAGACACACAATCATTAGACCGCTTTATGAAATTTGTTGTTCAAATGATTTTAACACGTAATTTACAGGAATTGATCCTCAATCAAGGATTTCGGTTACCAAGTCAAAGTATAGAGATCGAAAACTTACTCTGATAACATGAAATACACCCGTCATTAATTTGCTGCAGCTGCAGGTCTATCTTTCTGGGACTACGGTGACACGCAGGATATAAGAACTTCAATTTCCCAATATGACCAACTTAGTGTACAAACGCGTGTCAGTAGACTTTTGACCTCTATTTTCACTTTACATCAGTGGCCGCCAAGTTGGAAAATTTGATCCCTGATAGTCGGCAAAGTTGCAAGGGAAAAAATACTCCCCACTTTCAATATCGTTTTCTGTTCTGTCCAACTATTGTAGGACTGGTGTCCCTCACGCCTGAGTCAAGCATTTTGTCATTTACCTTTTAATGGAAACACCACTTTACATTTAGATATTCAATTCTTTGGGAATTTCCTTCCCTATCAATCATAGCATATAATAGGAATATTTATAAAAAAAAAAAAATTATTTTTGTTAAAAAAAAAAACTATTATAGTGCTAGTAGTTTAGACTAAAAATGAGTTTAATATGAATTTAGGATATGTTATTGGAAGAGCATTTTTATTAGTAATTGAGTTTTGTTATTATGTGTTTAAGTGAGTGTTTGTTTTTGAGTTTAGAGGACAACTATTAGTT